CTGATTCATTTGTCTCTGTCCCCGTCTCACTACCTTTCTCCCCGTCTTACTGTACCAGTAAATTCATGGAGGCTACGGCAGAGCTGACACCCCATCAATTCATACAAATTATCTCAGGCCAGCCACTAAAATGCCCCAGCGGCTACCATGCAGCAATCAATGCGAGCTCAGCATGCAGGACAAGCACTTTCTGCAAAAAACCTAGTCACAAGCAAATTCACACACAGCTGCACACACGTAAACATGCTCAATGAGAAACACTGAGTTACCTAGACAAAGAGGAAATTACCTTTATACACTGGTTGATGATTGGCTTCTATGAAAATGTCCCTGAAGGATGACTTTTACGTATTCCCACTGCGGTCAGAAAACCAGAGTCTTTCCCTTTCTTTATTCCATCAAAGTCTGAACTCTTTTCTAAGTAACTACAGTCACCGCACCCTAATGAATCATGTTCCCTCTCCCACATCTTCCTCCTCAGCTCATATTAATATGCCTCTTCTTTGAAATGAAAAATTCCCTCCGAAAACTCCCCGGGCTCTTTCGCTTAAATACCGAAATTGCGTTGTTGGAGATCTAGAAATTGAAAGTAAATAGTTGTCCAAAAGAAAAGCAGTTTATTTAGACGGGTTGAAATAGAGAAGATGTGCACACACACACACACACACACACACACACACACACACACACACACACACACACACACACACACACACACACACACACACACACACAGTGACACTTTAGAATCCATGGTGCCCTAAGGAAAGACTATTAGTGCTACAGTGATTGAGCACTCCTTTAAGGACACCTACGCAAAACCTATTCATCTCTCTATCTATCTCACACACAGACACACACACACACACACACACACACACACAAGTGGAAGGCCTTGGCGGTGCCATCCATAAAGCTCTCTCTGGGGTAGCAGAAGATTCAGGTGGCAGATTCACAACCCCAGCAGTAATGAAACTGAATCAAAGTGTGCCTGAATATGACGCACTGCTGCAGGCTCCCTCATTTAACATACGACCCGCTTGCACAAGAGTGTGGTGAAATGTGTCACGCCCACACAAGTCAAGCGCAACCCATGATTCTTTGATAACGTCAGGAACAACATTTGCGAAATATTTATTTTGTTGGTTTTACTGGATTGTTTTAAACACTAAAAATAGGAAGACTAAAGAGATACAAAATGTTAGAGCTGAAACAATTCATTTCTTTATTAAATAGTCAATTAGTGGAAAAATAACAATGCTCATACTAAGATGTGTTGTTATTTATCAAGCAATAAGATTATAAATCCACAGCCAGGATAGCAGCTGTGTAAAGCTTCACTTAGGCACAGTGATGCTCAGAGAAACGCTTACGTAAGCAGCTTTAATGCTTACATGGCAATGGTATCTTAGCTTAGTGTGTTAGCATGCTGATGATTGCTAATTAGCAATAAACAAAAAGCACATGAATGCCATTGGTTTTAGACATAGTTAGTTTCAAACAAAAGTATTAAATGAAAAAGATATATTTAATGGCTGTTGAATTGAGACTTGACCAAAGTGGTGGACAGACTGATCATCATTTCAATCTCTAGCGGCGCGCTGTCTAGAAAAGGCAAAACCGACATTAGCCAATTCCAGATTTGAAACGCATATGCTGCTTCAAGCTAATCTGTTTTATATTATTGTGAATTGAATACAATTGGGTTTCGGTCTGGTTGTTGAACAAAACAAGCGAGTCAAAACTTGGCTCTTGAAACTCAAGAATAGCATTTGTCACTATTCTCTGACATTTGATGTGCTAAGCCATTCCTCCATTAGTCGATCAATTGACAATTCATGGAAATAATTGCAGCTCTGTGCCACACACACGTGCACATGTTTCATGATTGGGGCACTTGTCTGTCTCACCATGGTGTTCTCCAAAATTGCTCTGTGCAAAGTGGAACATAGGGTTCTGTGCCAGGACATTTGACAGGGGAAAGTACATCCACACAAGCATTCACAGACACAGCCAACGTGACACTGAGAAACCTCTCCACTGTTCTCACACTACAAGACAGAAGGGAAAGAAATTAGAAACAGTGCCCAAAAAAAGGCGGTTATTTAAATAGACTAACTATAAAAAGCAGATGGAGGCTGCGGTGGAGTAAGGCTGTATGGATTTGACAGAAATAAAGAGAACACAAACAATGGAAGAGAGAGAGAGAAACTGAGGTCAGCAGCTGACAAAACAAAAGGATAAAGTCAGAAAGGAGGGCTGCTATCTCTCTATCCCAGGATGGACCACACAAATACAGCCTCCCACCCCAACACACACACTTTGAGAAAAGCTACTGCAGGCAGTTTGGAGCAAGGCTTTAGATTAGGGTTGTTTGTAACGTAAAGACAAACAGTGTCAAAAATAGAAAGAAGGATCTATCCCATTATTGTATGTGAGCGGGGGAAATCCTTGGGTACACACACACACACACACACACACACACACACACACACACACACACACACACACACACACACACACACACACACACACACACACACACACACACACACACACACACACAGGTCACTGGCTCTGAATGCAAGCAGTCACTGTAGGCTTAACACATTATGCACAGGTAGGGAGGAGGGGGCTTTAAAGCACAGAATTCTCACTAATTCAAGGATTTGCTTAAAGTGATGCATTACTTGTATTTAAGGCATATTTGCGCACATTAAATAAGGTCTTTGTTCGTTTATGTATAAACTACCCCTAATTACGGTAATCCTGTCACACACATTTAGTAATCCTGTTTTAAACCATTAATTCTTCCAGAATAAAGGCCAATTAAGTGTTGCCGCTTTTCAAAAGAGGATTGTGAAAATCTGGATTTATAATATTACTAAAAAAAAAAACCTGGTGTTTTCACACCCATAGCAAAGCTTTAAATACAGAGTGCCCATGATAGGTTCATTGCAGAGGGCTGAGCTCATTATATTACTGCTGCTTATTTGAATGAATTTGCATGTCAAATCCAAACCCCCAAATTTTGCTGGATTAGAGGCTTATCTGGGTTTTAGTTTTGGGAGGCTTTGCTTCAAACCAGTGATTGCCAGAATTGATGGTGTTATCCTCACAGCAATAAGATACTGTATGTTGAGTTCCAAAAGGGGAACATATACCTTTAAAAAGTGACATAAGGTGTTAAAATGCATTCCTCGATTGTTAAAACAAAACATAATTTGTCTAGGTGATCTAAATTTAGAATAATGTTTTTGAGTTTGATAACTTGGTTGTAACTTACAGTGTTTGTAAACAGAGGGATTTAGAGCACAGGAATTCTGGATACATTTGCAGAAAAGTATATTTTGTTTACAGTTTGTTGGTTTTCTGCACAATTCTCTGCGTCTGATTGTCAGCACAATAAGTGTAAAGTGTCAGTACAACTCTGAATGAATCCACTTAAAACACATTTCTGTACATAGTTAAGCTCTTGATCTGTCTGATAAAGGGATTCAGACTCCCTTTATTATATCCTGAAGAATATACTGAAGATCCAGTGTGACATTCAAGCTTCAAACGAAGAATTGAACATGCAGGACATCCCCCATCTTCCCTGCTGGACCCTGCCATAAATTGCCCCCTGATTTTCTGCCTCAAGGCACATTCACACTTAAGGAACCCCATGGGGTCTGGGAAGTGTGTGCGTGTGGTGTGTGTGTGTGTGTGTGTGTGTGAGGCGGGTTTAAGGTGTGTGTGTGAGGCGGGTTTAAGGTGTGTGAGGCGAGTTTAAGGTGTGTGTGTGTGAGGCGGGTTTAAGGTGTGTGTGTGAGGCGGGTTTACGGTGTGTGTGTGTGAGGCGGGTTTGGGGTGGGGCGGGTGTGTGTGTGAGGCGGGTTTACGGTGTGTGTGGAGGCGGGTTTACGGTGTGTGTGTGAGGCGGGTTTACGGTGTGTGTGTGTGAGGCGGGTTTAAGGTGTGTGAGGCGGGTTTACGGTTTGTGTGAGGTGTGTTTATGGTGTGTGTGTGTGAGGCGGGTTTAAGGTGTGTGTGTGTGAGGCGGGTTTAAGGTGTGTGTGTGAGGCGGGTTTAAGGTGTGTGTGAGGTGTGTTTATGGTGTGTGTGTGTGAGGCGGGTTTAAGGGTGTGTGTGAGGTGTGTTTACGGTGTGTGTGTGTGAGGCGGGTTTAAGGTGTGTGTGTGAGGCGGGTTTACGGTGTGTGTGTGTGAGGCGGGTTTAAGGTGTGTGTGTGAGGCGGGTTTAAGGTGTGTGTGTGAGGCGGGTTTAAGGTGTGTGTGTGAGAGCGGGTTTAAGGTGTGTGTGTGAGGCGGGTTTAAGGTGTGTGTGTGAGGCGGGTTTACGGTGTGTGTGTGAGGCGGGTTTAAGGTGTGTGTGTGAGGCGGGTCTAAGGTGTGTGTGAGGCGGGTCTAAGGTGTGTGTGTGAGGCGGGTTTAAGGTGTGTGTGAGGTGTGTTTAAGGTGTGTGTGTGAGGTGTGTTTACGGTGTGTGTGTGAGGCGGGTTTAAGGTGTGTGTGAGGTGTGTTTACGGTGTGTGTGTGAGGTGGGTTTAAGGTGTGTGTGAGGTGTGTTTAAGGTGTGTGTGTGAGGTGTGTTTAGGTGTGTGTGAGGCGTGTTTAAGGTGTGTGTGAGGCGGGTTTAAGGTGTGTGTGTGAGGTGTGTTTACGGTGTGTGTGTGTGAGGCGGGTTTAAGGTGTGTGTGTGAGGCGTGTTTACGGTGTGTGTACGAGGCGTGTTTAAGGTGTGTGTGTGAGGCGTGTTTACGGTGTGTGTGTGTGAGGCGGGTTTAAGGTGTGTGTGAGGTGTGTTTACGTGTGTGTGTGTGAGGCGGGTTTAAGGTGTGTGTGTGAGGTGTGTTTACGGTGTGTGTGAGGCGGGTTTAAGGTGTGTGTGAGGTGTGTTTACGGTGTGTGTGTGTGTGTGAGGCGGGTTTAAGGTGTGTGTGTGAGGCGGGTTTAAGGTGTGTGTGTGTGAGGCGGGTTTAAGGTGTGTGTGTGAGGTGTGTTTAAGGTGTGTGTGTGAGGCGGGTTTAAGGTTTAAATCCTTTTGAAGGAGTGTGTGTGAGGTGTGTCTCTGACCTTCTTGATGACCTCCATCTGCTCCTCTCTCCACTCCGGTTTGTTCTTCTTGGCGTTGACAAAGAACTCGATGACTTTCTGCTCCAGCTGGTCCGTGGCGTCTGGAGGGATCAATACAATATCAGTGAGGAACAGAGACGCTCTCATACTGGAACAGAGCCTGGGCGTGGGCGTGTGTGTGTATGTATAGGAGGCAGGTGGTGGTGGGAAAGGGGCTCCAGATACACAATAGGGTTTTTACCAGGAGAAGAAACCGTGTTTGTTACTGTGGTGAAAGCCCAGAGGAGATTCCTGCCTGGACATTGAACATTATTCCTTCATAAGATTCACTTTCTGCCACCCAGTCTTATTCTGACTGAATGTTCTGTGTTATTTAGCCGCTGTTGACGCTACAGGTGTTGACGCTACAGGTGTTTACGCCTCTCAGTGCCCCCCCCCAGTGTTTCCCCCGGCTCCTCTGCATCAGGTACTCACTCTGAACCTGCAGGTCCATCTCCCTCATCTCTGTGAAGCGGTCCCTCAGGTCGATGGGGAGCTGCTCGATCACTGAGGAGAGAGAGAGAGTTAGCACTGTGTGTGTGTGTGTGTGTGTGTGTGTGTGTGTGTGTGTGTAGCTGCTCGATCACTGAGGAGATAGTTAGCATGAAAGGTATCTCACTGTGTGTGTGTGTGTGTGTGTGTGTGTGTGTGTGTGTGTGTAAGACAATAGAACAGTTAGCATGTAAAATATCTCACTGTAAATAATTAATTATGTAAGTATAGTGTGAGAAACCAGCCAATCAGAGCACAGCTGCAGATCTCTAATAATACACACACTGAACAAATACATGAACAAAAAAAACCACACAAGACAGAAAAAAAACCAACAAATTCATACAAATAATTGAGTCACTATCATCACTGTGTGTGTGTGTGTGTGTGTGTGTGTGTGTGTGTGTGTGTGCAGAGGAGAGGAAGTAGA